AGACAACGTGGACATGAGAAATGAGGGAAATTTACAGATTTTAATCTTGATAATGAAAATTTTACACAAGCCTCCTAGCGAAGAATTAGACCAAGAAAATGAGAAAAAAAAAACTGATAACAAGGAATAGTTCGTTTTTTCGGTACACAAAAAATTTCAAGAACGTAAAAATCCAAATGAAATTTACTAAATATTCAAGCATGTTTCAAGAACATCTATTTCTTCTTTTTCTTTTTTGAAAATAAACATTGACTATGACAAATTAGATACAGTAAATTACAGCATGAATCTAGTCTACAATATTTTTTTCCGTTGACTTAAAGAATTAGCATGGCATTGGAGGCATAGTTATTAAATTCGGTCCGATTGAACGGTCGAATCGATCAAACCGGTGAATCGATCATTGGATCGGACTGGGTTTTACATTCGATCGTTTAAGCAATCAAGCCATTGACTAATCAATGATCGGATAAAATCATCAAGCCGTTGACTAATCAATGACTGGATAAAATCAGAACCCGGCCGGGTTTAAGAGGCAGAAAAAACTTATGCGCTAGCTGGGAATCAACCTTGGACAACTGGCCATTGCAACAACAAGGATACCGCCAGGCTACTTCACGATATGATGATAAGGTTGCTTACTTATAATATATAAACATGATATCAATTTTATCTTTTTTTTTATTTCTCTAAAACAAATTTATTTGGAATCTTTTAATAAAAATTCATGACCCCCAAACTCTATAAGTTATAAAATGAACTTCAAAAATAACATATTACATAATTCATTTTAAAAACAAATATTATTTTTAATAATTTTGTGCACTTAGAATTTATAAATATGTTTGATAATTACACTAAACATAGATAAAATTTTGGGATAATTTCAGAAACCTCCCCTGAGGTTTCTGACATTTACACTCACCTCCCCTGTGGTTTGAACAATTACACTAACCTCCCTTGAGGTTACTAATCCTTTACAAATTCAGTCCAAATGATTAAAATATTGTTTTAGAGAGTGAAATTAGAATTTTGTACCTGATTTGCCCTTTGTGCTACATATCCAATGAATGACAAAGTATTACAAATTAATTAATAATTAATAAACTTTAAGGAGCGTAGTTTATAGGCAAAAACGTATTACTTATTTAAAGTACCAGCTCTTTACGAGTATTTTACTTTCAAACATTTACTTTATTACAAATATTTATTTTCAAATACAGATTTGTATTACTCTCAAATATTTAATTTTTGTTAAATAAAAAACCTACCAGTTTTTTTTCCGTAAAAATATTAATATAACACTTTTTCAATTTTAGTTATAAATATTTATGTATTTAGCATAAATTAAATGATTCAGGATTAAATACTCATAAAGAGCTAATACTTTACTCATGTAATGGATGAAAATCATAAAAAATTAATACTTTATGGGGGCATTTCTTTTTTAAAAAAATATTTAATTTATATTAAATAGATAACCTACTGATTTTCTTTTTGCGAGAATATTACTGTAACACTTTTTAATTTTTAATTACAAACGTTAATATATTTATCATAAATTAAATATTTGAAAATAAAATATCTGTAAAGAGCGGGTACTTTAAATAAATTATGTATATTTGCCTATAAACTATACTCTTTAAAGTAAAGAGTATAGTTTATTGATTTAAGTTAAGGAGTGTAGTTTATTAATTTAAGTAAGTAGTGTAGTTGATAAAATAAATGGTTTCGGAATTAAAGTTTTCTTTCATTTTCACCCATCTTTTTTGAAAATGTTTCAAAGAACAATAATATTTATATGTTTCTTTTCCTTTTGCCTGGCGTCTTTAGAAGGTGCGAGATTCAGGCACAAATATTTCATTTAGATACAAGTACCATAACAGCTACTATACCAATAGTTTACATAATACTACATTGATCTAGTGTGGTCCCCTCTCTCTCTCTCTGAAGTTTCGTCGAAGGCTTACCAAAGATTATTGATTGTGCGGACAGTTAAATAGACCCAACCACTTTTGTGTGCACGCTCGTACTTACACGTATAAACTAATCGTTTTACCAAAAGCATACCCATTTTTGTCTCTTAAGAGGACTAACCCCGCCACATACAAAAGATTCTCTACTAGCTAAATCAATAAACTATACTCCTTACTTTAAAAAGTATAGTTTATAGGCAAATACACATAACCTATTTAAAGTAACGACTCTTTACAGATATTTTATTTTCAAATATTTAATTTATGATAAATATATTAACGTTTGTAATTAAAAATTAAAAAGCGTTACAGTAATATTCTCGCAAAAAGAAAATCAGTAGGTTATCTATTTAACATAAATTAAATATTTTTTTAAAAAAGAAATGACCCATAAAGTATTAATTTTTTATGATTTTCATCCATTACATGAGTAAAGTATTAGCTCTTTATGAGTATTTAATCCTGAATCATTTAATTTATGCTAAATACATAAATATTTATAACTAAAATTGAAAAAGTGTTATATTAATATTTCTACGGAAGAAAAACTGGTAGGTTTTTTATTTAACAAAAATTAAATATTTGAGAGTAATACAAATATGTATTTGAGAATAAATATTTGTAACAAAGTAAATGTTTGAAAGTAAAATACTCGTAAAGAGCTGGTACTTTAAATAAGTAATACGTTTTTGCCTATAAACTACGCTCCTTAAAGTTTATTAATTATTAATTAATTTGTAATACTTTGTCATTCATTGGATACGTAGCACAAAGGGCAAATCAGGTACAAAATTCTAATTTCACTCTCTAAAACAATATTTTAATCATTTGGACTGAATTTGTAAAGGATTAGTAACCTCAGGGGAGGTTAGTGTAATTGTTCAAACCACAGGGGAGGTGAGTGTAAATGTCAGAAACCTCAGGGGAGGTTTTCTGAAATTATCCCTAAAATTTTATACTTGAAGTTTGGTATATTACTAAATAACTTTATATTTTATTGATTCTTATATGAATTAATTATTTTATAGCAAATTAAATTATATGAGCATTTGCTATGACATTATTTATTACAATTTATATCATATATCTTATATTTAAAATTATGAAATATAATATTTAAATATATTTAGTGACCCACCGGTTCAATCACTCACCCACTGGTCGAACCAGTAACCTGTTGACCCACCTCGTTTACCGGGTTCCCTCTCGGGTTGGGTTTAATAACTATGATTGGAGGACTGGTTTTCTTTTGGAAAGAATAGAAAATTTCAGAGAATTCATCCGGAAAAAGCACACCATGAGTCCATGAATGAGGTTATGGTACTTTTGTGTACTTTGGACCCGCCCGCGGAGACCAACACCATCAAGTCCTCTTCGATTTGCAAATGAAAGGTTTCTAACTTAAGAGAGCCTGCAGGCTTAGAAATTTTCTTTTGAAAAAAAAAAATAGCCCTTGAGCATTTATATATTAAAAAAGAGTGGCTGCCCCAGGAATTAAAAAAAAAAACATTGTTGCCTGCTGTGTCAGCGCGGCAGGCATAATTAGGGCTGCAAACGTGAGCGGCTCGTTGATCGAGCTCGAGTCGACTCGAGCTCAAAATATTAAGCTCGTTAGGCTCGCGAGCTCGAGTATATATATATATATATATATATATATATTATATTTTAATAGTAAAATTACCATATATCCTTAATATTTTTAATTTATTAAAAAAAAAATATTATTTTATTTATTTTTTAAAAAATAAAATAAATATTTTTTTTATTTTTTCGAACTCGAACTCGAGTTTTAAATTGTCAGCTCGTCGAACTCGAGCTCGAGTTCGAGTTCAATAAAACTAAGTCAAGATTCGATTCGATTAGACCAAAACTCGATTCGGTTTGACTCGTTTGTAACCCTAGGCATAATGAACTTTGTCAGCTCTACGTTTGCCATATTTTTTTTTATATATATTTTTGAGTAATATTCTACGGAATTAGCTGTCAATTTGGCTCGTTTCACCTTTATTTTGAGTATATTACTTCAAGTTAAATTACATGCAAAGCATTCTTTTTGCAATGCTGCCTCATACCTATCAACGTATTGTATTGCAGATTAAGTTTTTTTTTTATTGAGTATATAATTACATATTATTTACTGTAAAACTATATGATATTATTTTGCACAAGATAAGTCTGATGAATCCATGTGAACCCAATGCATTGACCTGACTTTGGGGGTTCCTATCCCTTTAGACCAATCTGATCGAATTAAGTTCATCCAGTAAGAAATTTGTTAGACAATTCCGACAAATCATTTCCCATCCCACGCGCAATAGAGCTACCATATAGTAAATATGCTGTGATTAGTTCCTCTTTTCTTTTTCTTTTTTTTCCATTCCTAATGGTTGAATACTTAAATATAGCATTGGATATTTAATAGTTAATAATAATAATAAGAAGAAGAATATAAATTTGGATTGTCTTGGCACCTAAATATTTGGATTAATCCACTTACTCTCCTAACATTTTCAAGGATTTTCTTGCGTCGTTAAGTTTTAAGTTTTTCACGGTACATGTTATATTTCAAATTGAATATTTCAAATTGAATGCTGTCATATTGCATCTCAACTTTATCTTTTGAACATTAATGTTTTTCACTTCATCCCAAATTACTATAATGAGTGAAAGAATGTGACAACTACATTACTTTCTCAATGCTGAAAATTGTCATAAATCCTCCCAAGTTTGAATATATATAAAAAAAAAAGAGGGTCATCTCATTTGGATAAATTTATGGTCCTAAGTGTCGCAATAAAAGTTCAGAATGCAATATGCAAATTAATGAAATTCCGAAGGGTGCAAAGGGTAATTTCTAGTTGTATAAGTTTTTGTGAACCGAAGTGGGACAGTGGCCATTCTAATGATAGAAGACTGAGCATCAGAGTCAATCAACTCAAATTTTTTTTTTTTTTGATAAATAAAGATGCATTAAAGTAAAAGTCAAGTCAATCAATTCATTTATGCTCAGCTATGCATCTCCTTCTTTGTTTCTGAAATCTGAAGCTTTGGTAATGGATCATGGAGCATCTTTCAAAAAATTGTAGTACAATTTTGTCAGTTTTTTTTGTGCTCACAACTCTGTTTGGCCTAACTTTTTCGGCACCAGATTTCACACAGTTTTTCTGTTCAAATAACATAGGCAATTACACAAAGAACAGCAAATACCAGGCCAATTTGAACACCCTTCTTTCATCCCTTTCTACTAATGTCAGTCCCGATGGATTCTACAATTCCTCGGTCGGCGAAGATCCTGACAGAACATATGCACTTGTGCTCTGCAGAGGAGATGCTAGTTTCCAAGATTGTGAAACCTGTGTTAATGATTCTACTAATATGATCCTACAATTGTGTCCCAATCAAAAGGAGGCAATTGGATGGTATACTATTTGCATGATAAGGTACTCAAACAAGAACTTTTTTGGTAACATGAGTACTAGACCGAATTTCAATCTTCAGAGCTCAGTGGTTCCTCCAAACCTGAGTATATTCAATCAGGACCTGAGTAATTTGACAAACAGCCTTAGAGATCAAACGGTTGGAGGTTTTTCACTCAAGTTTGCTGCAGGGACAAGAAAGAGTGATAGCAATATCACCATCTATGCATTGATGCAATGCACACCTGACATAGATGGTGGAGATTGCAATCTTTGCCTTGGATGGGCTTTACAGGTTCTGTCACAATGCTGTTATGGTACAGAGGGGGCCAGGGTCGTTGGGCCAAGCTGTAGTTTTTGGTATGAGGTATTCCCCTTCTACAATGAACGGGTGATTCTTTCAAGGCCACCGCCACCGCCATCATTGCCGCCCTCCCTAGTACCACCTCCACCCAAACCAGCCACAAAAGGTATCAAAAACTGTCACCTAGCTACTTATCTACAAAAATATCAGCTCTTTCTAGCTCATTTTTCAACTGATTCTCTTATTGTGTGTAAAGATGTGGTGGAGTGGGTATTGAGGATTTAACTAGAGAATGAGGCATTTCTTACATACCACAAACAAATCATATAATACTTTTTTGATGCTCATTGCTTGTCTAAGAATGGCAAAATCTTGCTTCTGCAGGAAAGCATGGCAACAGCACAACCCTTATTATCATTGGTGTTGTAGGTGGAATAGCTCTGGGACTACTCAGTTTTTGCATTTTCTCCTTCAGAAGAAAATGGCGAAGCAGAAGGAAAGGAGAGAAATTTCAGGGTAAATTCAAGTAAAGATTTTTGTCACCAGCTGCAAACTACTATTATTTGCTTTGGACATTCAAAGTTCATAGCTGTAAAGTACTTAGTTTTTGGCTATATTTTTCCATGCTGTCTCTGCTTGAACATTCAATCTTCAAGATCCATCATGATTGAATTTTATCTGCGTGAATCCAAGGAAATCAGAAACAAGAATATTCAAAGTAAAATATTGACTTATTTTCTTGGGCATCATGATGCATCCATTGTACAGTATATTACAGATTTGTATAAGTGCGTCCATTGGGCAACGCCGAAGCTAATTTCAGTATTCTCTGGTTTTCGATTGTGAAGGTTTGGAAGAAGGTGACGGGGTAAAAGCAATGCAGTATGATTTTGGCGTAATTAGTGCAGCAACAAATAACTTTTCAAGTACTAACTTGCTGGGGAAAGGAGGATTTGGTGCTGTTTACAAGGTGAATAATCAAAAGATCTGATCATTACTTGTGAGTAGAGGTGTCAAAATGGGTGACTTGGGCGGGTTTGGGTTGGGTAAAATGGGTAATGGGTATAAGTGAGTCAACTCATTTATACCCAATTAATTAGATGGGTATAAATGGGTAAGTCAAAAAATGAATTGGGTAACCCAATTATCCATTTATAACCCATTTATTTTAACTTTTTGTAAACTCATTTAAATTCATTTTTACAAACTAAGTTATCAATTTATACCACTCTTTGTACCCATCATTAGTTTTAAATATTTATTTATAATATTCAATAAACTTAATTACCAATTTTTTTTCATTTATACTCTATGTCACAAAATTACCTATTATTTAATAATTGAATAATAAGAATATAAAAATTTGAACTAAGTGCTATAAAAATTAATATAAAAACTTAATCCAAAAATTTTGAACCCTAACATTTTTTTCATATATAAATTTAAAATTTCATTTTAGAAAGATAAGAAAATAGGCTAAAATTTATTATAAATTAATAATGCAGAAAAATGAGTAAGTTAACAAACTAAGAGAAAATAAAATAATAAGATAAAACTAATAAATAATAATAATAATAATAATGAAACAAAAGTAGTTAACATCATGACAAAATGAAAAAATAGAAAAAAAAAAATGGGTGGGGGAAAAGAAGAGACTTGGGGGGAAGAGAATTCTAAATGGGTTAATTGGGTTTGATGGGTTACCCAATAATACCCATTTATTAAATGGGTATTATTGGGTAACCCATTTATACCCATATACAAAAATTTAAGATACCCATACCCATCTATTCATGGGCGGATATGGGTAAATTTAATTAAGTGGGTTGATTTGCCACCTCTACTTGTGAGCAATCAAAACAGCCAATATGACCATCTTATTGATTCGAAGTTTGAATTCACTTATGCTGGTTTGGCTCTTTTGCCCCAATTTATGCAGAAAATTTTCAGACTGCTACATGTCTACACTTTTTAGGAGCTTAGACAGTTATTTTCAGCGGTCAAAAACTTTGGGATGGACTTATTCTGGTGATGGTGTAGAAGATTTTGCCCAGACAGAAGTATATATCAAAACCATTGGCTAATTCTGTCCTAAACAGTCATCATAACACTCTACAGTTCCAAAGTACAGACAGTAGAAGAGTAATTCACTAGGAAGATATAATTCTAGATAGAGTTGTTGCCCTATGGACATGCTGTAAAATTGGTGTTGTAAATACTGCTTAAATTAAATTTTTTCCTGCCAGATTGCATTGAGTCATGGTTGCAATCACTGTAGAGTTCGTTGGACGCTCGTTAATTGAAGCACAAGTGCTATTTTTTTTTAAAAATGAAGCAACTTGAGAAACAGGCTGAACAAGAATGATAATAAATGCAAATGTTATATGACACATCGGGTGTCTTAATAGGTGCCTCACGGTCACTCGTTAGAAAGCTCTTAAAACTGAAAAGATTTTTGTTAATTGTTGTCATGTCAATTTATCCAATATATGCTTCAGGGTACTCTCTCAGATGGAAAGGAGATTGCTGTAAAAAGACTGTCCAAGGGATCAGGACAAGGTGACCAAGAATTCAGGAATGAGGTCTTGTTAGTGGCAAAGCTCCAACACAAAAGTTTAGTTAGATTGTTGGGTTTCAGCCTGAAAAAGGAAGAAAGACTGCTGGTCTATGAATTCATGTCAAATGGGAGCCTTGACAAATTCCTCTTTGGTATGTTTTTCTGCTGCCTAAACTTTTCTTTATTTCTCAATCTGTCTTTTTTTTTTCCTCTCTTTTTTGGTTGCATTAAGTGCATCCACTGCCTAGCTACATCAGTCACTATATTGTTTGTCAAGATCAAATGGTAGATAATAGACTATCTGTACATCAAGTAGACAAAAATGGCCTTGTCTGAAACATCAAAAAGGGCAAAGACCCTTCTTCACATAAACCATTTTTTGCCTTTCTTGGTATACATGCATATATAATCCCCAAGAACTATTGATTGACAAAATTTAACAAAAAAATATCATTTGGAATCAAAAGAAATTTGAGAAGCTAACCATTTCCTCTTCTTTTTTTTTTTTTTTTTCTTTTGGTGTCATGTGATAACAAGTTGTTCTGTGATTTGCTTTGTTGAGTCAATTTTAGATTCAGCAAAGAGGTCATTGTTGGATTGGGATCAACGCTACAAAATCATAGAGAGTGTTGCTAAGGGACTTCTTTATCTCCATGAAGATTCACGACTAAAGATTATTCATCGTGACCTAAAAGCCAGTAACATTCTCTTGGATGAAGACATGAATGCCAAAATTTCAGATTTTGGTATGGCCAAGTTGTTCCAGCTCCATGAGAGTGTAGCCGAAACCAATAGAGTTGTGGGGACCTAGTAAGTACTTTTGTATATATGTGTATTTAAACTGGTAATACAATATAAGGGGTAACCACAATAATTTTTGGGTTAATTATTAAGTTTTTCAATGACTAAACGAAAATTAGTCAATGGGTATTCTCACTTAACAAAATTAAAATCAATTGTCTCATTTAGAGAGCGTAACTCTATTCCATTTGATTGAAGATTAATCGGAAAATTGTTTGATGTTACATCTTTATTATAATACTTATGAGTCGTGGAGTCTGTGAGATAAAAAGATGATGGAAAAAAATTGAAAGAAGTAATACAAAAAATTTCCAAATGATGAATGACATAGATTAAAAACTTTAATCATCCCGTACAAATTTTGTCCCTAAATAAACATGTAACCAATCTTATCAAGTTCATATTCTGATATGTATCAGTTTTGTGATTGCGCTTTGAGTTTGTATTTTGATAGCTATTACATCGACCATTTGCAGTGGGTATATGGCACCGGAGTATGCACTGCAAGGCATATGTTCAGACAAGGCAGATGTCTTCAGCTATGGAGTGCTGGTTTTGGAAATCATAAGTGGTCAAAAGAACCGTTATGTCCAACAAGGCCAGAATGTGGAGGACCTTCTCAGCATTGTAAGTATGACTAGAAAAATAGTTCTAAAGCCTAAACAAACGTAAAAATAAAACATAAAAAATCTGCAGTATTGGTCCTTCTAACGTTTTCAACTTGTCTAACTTAGCATTAGACTATTATCCTAGTATTTTAAGTCTCAATTTCAACTTAATTGATTTTTATATTTGTAGATCAAGTTAAATTTGAGCAATTAACATCTCAAAAAGTTGTGTATGTTGCATAAGCATGAAGAGACCAATAATTGTACAAGATTCAACTTATTGTTACTCGAAAATACATAGAATACAATGTAAATTTTCATTTTAAACCACCTCCCCCTTCCCCTCTCTTTATTTTCACTAAATTTTCTCATTTGTTCTTTGGACTCATGCAAGTCTAGCTTTTCTTGTTTCATCCAAGACTAATTAATTATGTCTAGGCGAAATAACTAGGGACAAAAACTGCGAAAAAATATTGTACAAGAAGTATGGTCAAATACAAGGACTAAATTTTCCACTTTTTGTATACCATATTATGCCATTTAGGTTTGGAAAAACTGGATTAAAGGAACAGCTTCAAATATAATAGATTCAACTCTCAAGGCTGGCTCAGCTCCGATAGAAGCTATAGTGAGGTGCATACACATTGGCTTGTTGTGTGTTCAAGATGGTGTAGCTAGTAGACCAACCATGGCTTCAGTTGTGTTCATGCTCCATAGCTTATCTACTAGTCTGCCAATGCCTTCTGAGCCTGCATATTTTTCACGTAGCACCCAGCATTGCTTCAAACAATCAGCCTCAGCAGGCTCTTGAAGATTCGAAAGCAAAAGGATCAGGTCAAATTCAACCTGCAGGAGGAGCTGCTACTAACTATTCCTTAAATGAAGCATCAATAAGTGAGTTTGATCCTCGATGATATTATATTAGAGGATGGAATGTGCAAACGGCTGCATGGGAACTTAGGATATTGTTCTGGTGTATTTGGTAGTACATGTTTTTTGTTTTTTTTATTAGGACAGAAGTAGTTTGATAGAAAGGCTCAAACAAAAAGAAAAAAATCCATGTACAAACCATCTAACAATGCATTTATTTCCACATAAACAACGTGGATTTGTTATGATTTCCAACTCAATGTTATAGTAATATCATTCCAATTTGGTCTAAAAATTCGTGAAAGTTTCTTATGACTTTTAGTTGAAAGTGGTGCATTTTATACCGTTTGAAAAACACTATAACAAAGTTTCAGCTTTTGAGAATATCCCATAGTTCATGTTTGGCGATCCTAAATTTTGAATTCATTTTTGGTTTATTTACAAGAGAATGAGGTGCTACATCAGCGCAGATATGATAGTCAAATCCTGATATATTGCTTAGGAAAGAGTTGCTTTATCACTTAAGCAATCCCTTGTAGTATCTAAATAGCATTTCGATTAAGAAGTTTTTTTTTTCTACTGAACGATAAGTTTTGCACATCTTGGCTTTTCTTTTTCTTTTTTTTAAATTTCAAAAATTACAAAAATAGATGTCATTTCCTTCGTTTTTCACTTCACATGATATCAAACCACAGGGGCGTTAAATGGCCATTTTAAAAAAAAAAAATTCAGAGATTATAGAATAATAAATCAAACCAAAGGGGATAAAGTGTAGTTTACCCTTGTTTTAACCAATAGTTAATGGGCACTTCAAGTTAGTGTACTTCAATATTATTCTCTCTATGATGATCATTCTTAATCTTCGCTCTGCAGACTTCAAAGTCAAATTTTGAATCCAATTCCCACATATGAAAACATGCAACATTAATCAGCTGGATTAAAAACTTAATCAACTAGTGCAAGAAGTTAAAAATTGAGGTCAACAATGTCAGTGCCAGGAAACATCTTCCACATTGCCGGCCTTCTTGTACTCAGCAAATTTTGTGTTCATGTAATCTTCTGTTTAAATAATGAGGGAATCCATTGATTAATGTATCTGAATTAAACTACTAAATTTCATCGACAGTTCAACACGTTCCAGTCCTAAGTAGTCCTATATCAATCCTAAATTCTATCGAAAGGTTAATATTTTTTAGCAAAATTTCAAGAATGTCAAATAATGAGCCAATGTTTCCTGGCCATTTCTTAGTAAATTAATACCTTCCCCTTGAATGGGTTCAATTTTGAGGAAGTCAGTCTTCTGTTTCGTTTGTTCTTTAACCAGTGACTGAGTACAAAACTGAACCAGATTCCTAGTTTTTATATTATGTGAAAATGTAAGCTGCTGTCACAGGTTGGTAATCTGATAAGCACAATAATTATTAAATTAAAGGAAATATAGATTTCAATCTTCCAAATATCCTACATGGTCAAGATTGATCATCTCAGTTTTGTAATTGATCCAAAAAAAATCAGCTAGCCCTGCTTGATTTCAGATTATGATGTTCACTAGTCAACTAAATTTGGAAGTTTTGTCAAGGGATCACGAGTGATGATTCTTCTTCCATTTTGGCTAGACCTAAGACATTTTTTATCTTCCCAGTTTTAGATCATAGATCATAGAAATGGGCTATCAGGGATGGTGTCTTTCAGTCTTTTACATGCTTACAAACCTTGTTTTCCTATCTGTTTCACAACCAAGCTTCACAGCTTTCTTCTGTTCAAATGGAGTAGGCAACTACACGCAGAACAGCACATACCAGGCTAATCTCAACTCTCTTCTTTCCTCCCTTTCATACAACATCAACCCGTATGGATTCTACAATTCCTCTTTTGGCCAAGGTCTCGATAGAGTTAATGCAATCGTGCTATGTAGAGGCGATGTTGATCAGGAAAATTGTCGTGTTTGTGTACAAAACTCTGCTGGAAAGCTCACACAGGTCTGTCCTAATCAAAAGGAGGCAGTTGGTTGGTATGATCTATGCATGTTAAGATATTCGAATAAGTCGATTTTTGGAGTTATGTCTAATCTTCCACCTTTCGCTCTTCAGAACCCATTGAATTCTACAAATCCCAATCTGTTTAGTCAGGAGGTTAGCAATTTAGCAACTAGCTTAGAAAACAGAATCTTTTCAGGGAATCCAGACTGGAAATTTGCTCTAGGGAAAAGCAATAACAGCAATGTTGAGACCATATATGCTTTGATGCAGTGCACACCTGATATAGATCCAGGAACTTGTAATTTTTGCCTTAGGTTGACTTCAAATATGATGTCTCAGTGCTGTTCTTGGAGACAAGGGGCAAGAGTTGTTGGTCCAAGTTGTAGTTTCTGGTATGAGTTGTTCCCCTTTTATAATGAGAGTGCCATTCCATCACCACCAGGTCCACCGCCATCCCCACAAGGTAATCAGATGGAAATATTTTCTCTTGTCACTACTTAGCTAAGAAAACTAAGTTGCTAGTTGCTTGCTGATCTTTTGATCTTGTGGTAAATTATTTGAAATATTGTCATGCCTAGGAGAATATGGACTTGTGGACGATAAGGTTATTTTCCAAATAATCCGACAAATGTGAACTTTAAACCTAAGTTCTGTCTTTCCATCCTCAGCCTAGCCTACTTCAATAACTTTTTCTTTTAATTATCAAATTATGCAAATCCCATACTATTAATGCTGGCTAAGAACACTATTACAGAAAAGTAGAAGAGTTAGAACTAGATTTTCTAGAAATGTTATTGAGCTATTTTACTTGTTGAGTAAGCTAATTACACAACGACAAAATGATAGAAGATTTAGAACTAGCTTTTCCAGCAATGCTATTGAGCTGTTTAACTTGAGAGGTAAAAAACAATCAGCAAAGTGACCTAAAAGTTTGTAGAATCTCAATATTAACTTACTTTTCTTCCTTATGTGTCTTCTTATGAGGAGTGATCAATCCCAGATGAGGTTCATTGGTGTTTGGTTTTCAAGTTTGCACGTGTTTCCACCTTTTAATTAAGTTGTATTGCCACTTTCTTATAATCTCAACAATTTGCATTTTGGACTAAAAAACTTATGCTTATTGCTCAAGCTTGACAAAAACTTGGTTTTTTCAGGAAAGAAAGGTAACAAGACATGGATTGTCATCGTTTGTGTCATCATTGCAGTGGTACTTGTAATACTTACTGTTTGCATTTTCATCTTCACAAGAAAATGGCAAAAGAGGAAGAAAGCAACGAAGCTTGAAGGTAGTGAGACTTTCATCTCCTCCACATTAACCTATATCTACTCTGGTGCAGATTGAAAATGTTCAGTGTTGGTAGAAGAGTAAAAGTAGCATCACAACATTGTGTTTTTGAAAGCCACAGGCATTTACATAACTTTAAATTTTCACTCGAGCGCATGAGATTAATTTTAGACACGAGGTAAGTGTCTATAAAATGTGGGATCGTACGTTCAGGAAAATTGAAGGAAGAGATAAGGAGGAGAGCTTTAGATTAAGCAAGTTTAACCAATGAAAAGTTCAATCAAGTGTTATAAGGTATGTCTGCAACTTTGTAAATATATTACAGCTTGTAACATTGTTATGAATTTTCCATAGTAAAATTAGCAGTGCCAAGGTCTGAGGGCAATCAAAGTTATAGATGCAAAGTAGTTACTTCTGTTACATGTATGTTCATTGTTGTCTGCTTGAAAATGACCTATTTAAGTATAAAGAAATGAAAAAGGAGTTCATTAGTCTGTTCTGTGTGTCTCCCAGACTAAGATATTATTGATCATTTAGCGAACAATTCATGTTGATTCTAGCATTCTTTGTTTTATCTTGGTGAAGAATTGGAAGAAATTGATGGGGCAGAAACGGTACAGTACGACTTTAGCACAATTAGAGCAGCAACAAATAATTTTTCTGCTAATGACTTGCTGGGAAAAGGAGGATTTGGTGCTGTTTACAAGGTACATACCTGCACCAGATCTTTAAAATTTCAAACTGAACACAAAGGCCAAAAGACCAACATGGCCACTAAAGAATTTCTTCAATGTTCTGATGCTTTACAATGGATTAGTTTAGTGAATTGCCCTTGATGAAATTTAAATACTTTGTTATCATGTAACATTGCCAAATTTGTGTCAGGGAACTCTTTCGGATGGACAAATGATAGCTGCAAAAAGATTGTCTAAGGAGTCAGGACAAGGTGAACAAGAATTTAGGAATGAAGTCTTGCTGGTGGCAAAGCTCCAACACAAAAGTCTGGTTAGATTGTTGGGTTTTTGTCTGGAAAAAACAGAAAGACTGTTGATTTATGAATTCCTGTCAAATGGGAGCCTTGACAAACTCCTTTTTGGTATGTAGTTTTCCTCCTATTGCTGCTATAGACTATAGTCATTAGTTTTTTTTTTTTTAAGAGGGCAGACTAAGATTTTAAGATAGTTTGAGGGGTTAATTACTTCTTGTTTAATCCATCTTATTTGTCTATGATAAAAATCTTTTCTTGATTTCTCTTTTTGGGTCCAATTTAGATCCTCTGAAGAGCTCAGAACTGGACTGGGATCGGCGCTACAGAATCGTAGAGAGTGTTGCAAAGGGACTTCTTTATCTGCATGAAGATTCTCGATTGAAGATTATTCATCGTGATCTAAAGGCTAGTAATATTCTCTTAGATGAAGATATGAATGCTAAAATCTCAGATTTTGGCATGGCCAGGTTGTTCCATGCAGACGAGAGTGTAGCCAACACCAATAGAATTGCAGGGACCTAGTAAGTGCTAAAATGTTGTTATTTATGAATCTATGAACAATTTTTTGACCATTGAGTCAAAAATTTTATAAATAGCACTCTTCAGAAAGAAGATCACTATATTCACACTAAATAAAGTTATCACTTTGTTAATTACAGAGTTGTGATTGTTAAGGTCATTTGATGATTCTGAGTTTATAAGGCTATTCATTATCTCTGACAAGAATAACTATGCAGTGGATACATGGCACCAGAGTATGCATTGCATGGACTATTTTCAATCAAATCTGATGTCTTCAGCTATGGAGTGTTAGTTCTCGAAATAATAAGTGGGCAGAAGAACTCCTATTTCCGGGATGGCCAAACTGTGGAGGACCTTCTAAGTTTTGTAAGTATGCAAAACATTTCAAGCCTAATCAGAACACACAATATTTGCAATGTTCTACTGTCTCCTGTTTGTAGTTCTCTTGCTTTTCCTTGCGTCTAACAATTATAACCTCTTAACAGGCTTGGAAAAACTGGCTTGGAGGAACAGCTTTGAAGATAATTGATCCCACTGTCACGGCTAGTTCAGGTTCAATACAGAACATAATCAGATGCATCCACATCGGGTTGTTATGCGTTCAAGATGATATAACTAAGAGACCAACTAGTGCTTCAGTTGTTCTCATGCTCCAGAGCTTTTCCGTCAGTCTTCCAAAGCCTTCTGAGCCTGCTTTTTTTGCACACAGTCGCAGCATTGGTTCAGACAAGTCTGATACACCATTGTTATCTGAAGATTCTAAAACTATAAGTACTGCAAGTCCATCACAACCTGCAGTTGCTAGTCAGTCTGTCAATGAAGCATCAATCAGTGATTTAGACCCTCGATGATGGAATATAAGGATGGAATATCTGGAAAGTACAGTCAATTTCCATTTTTTCTTTTTGTCGGAAGCCGACAAATTTTGAGTTTAGGACATTATTCTTGCGTATTCTTTGGCTGGTAAAAGAAAGCGATGTAGAGGATCACAGAAGGGAGAACAATGTACAATCTATCTTATGTATTTGTTTGTACTAGCAAACTTGATTGATGACAGCATGAACTGAGATGGTAAAAGTGTACATAACTGCAGAACGTATTAGTTTTAGATGGCGAAGTGGAAATGAAAAGAAGTTCAAATGGCAAAGTGAATCCCGGCTGCATTGAAATAATAAACTTTGCCTCTTGAGAGTCTGAATCTGTGGTTGAGACTCGAAAGACCGAAATATACACCACAGTACAATGGTAAATATCTAGACAACCTGAATATTTCCAGCGGTAGTAATTTTCCTAAAGATTGCACTCAAATTTCATTTGTCTGTTATATAACTAAAGAAAGAAACTGGTGTGCTAACTGCCCACCCCAGGCCCAAACAGAACTAGGAACTTGAAATCACAAGAGTGTCAATGGTGCGAGAGCTACAAGAACAACAAAATGAAAGGCCATTGTATAAACCACCATGAGCAGGCCAAAACTTTCGGGCGGGTGCTGTTTCCTGATCAATTCAATATGTCATTAACTAAAATGCTACCACAGCATTCACATCACTGCTGTATTCTCCTTTTCTTCGAACAAGACACTAGCAGAAACTAGAATTACACTTGTTTCTTGAATTGAAGAAACTAGCAGAAGCTCTTCACTGACCCAAAAATGCCACAAGGAGGTGCTATTAATCACTGTCATCTTCATCCTCCTTAGCACCTTGATCATTGGAAATATGAACTCCGGGCTGAACCACGCGCCGCCGCGTCCTAGATGGTAGAATGTTATCCAAATCAATCTCAGCAAGTGGATCGTCTGAGAGATCACTTTCAGCATCAGATTCACTTCCAGAATCACTTGAATCCCGTGACACCTCAACTAATTTTCCTTTACCCTTGTCATCCCTCATAATTCCCTTGCCCTTTCGGTCAACTATCTCAGCATTGGCATCCGAGTCGTCATCATCGCTATCTTCCTCACCATCCTCGTCCTCCTCCTCTTCCCCTTCCTCCTCTTCATCTTCATAGTCTTCTCCATCTTGATCTTCGACTTCATTATCCTCATTTTCCAGTACCTGTTCCACATGGGCACTGTGGTTTTTAGTTCCATTAACATCTTTATTCTCTTCAACATCTGGAATCAGAGGGTCATTTCCAATGGAGCGGTCATTGTTTTCAACGGAGAGGTCATTGCCAAGCTTTAGCTTTTTGTTTGGATCAACTGTGTCCTCGTGTATGTTTTCCTCGTCCAGAGAGGCAAGTTCAGGATTTCTTTTAGCAGGCAAAGATCCTTTGTCACTCTTGATCTCTGCAAAATTAAGTTAATCACTTTTCCAGTGAATAATATGGTTGAACATTAAGCAACAGAATTACTCACATGATCCGAGATATTACTGTTTACTACATAGAAACTTACCAATTAGACTAAACAGGGAATATATGGATTGCTGTAGAGACATAAATACATCCAAACATACATACTGCTTGCTTGCTAGCGCTCTCTCTCTCACACACACACACACATACACATATATATGAAACATAAGGATACATAAAGCAGGAAGATGCACTTTTTCAGGAATGTGCCTAGATAAGCCTATATATATGTTCTCAACTTCATTATATCAATGTAGTATCTGGCACAGCACATGAAGGGGCCTATCATCTTGCAGACACGATTCCAAATATCACTCAGTCAATTCTTCCAGCTAAACTGGAAGAATTGAACCAAAGGAGACCAAGGAACAATATAACAAGAAGAAAAAGATGAAGACTGTCGACAAAGTCAACAGAAACACATAAAGTGTTAATTTAATCTTCAAAGAGACAAAATGCAATTCAGTAGTCCATACTGACTAACCTTCATCACGAATCAATGTGTTATCTGGGTCGGCGAAAGTTGCCATGCCACAGAACTTGTAGAAAAGATGAATCCACCTGCTAATAACACAAAAGGGAAGAAAATTCAAATCAAATACACAGTTATTTAAGTTACAACCTGAATGGGAAATTCAAACTTAATCGTAAGCCAAAACAAATATAATCTTCACTTTCATCTGTAAAAGGCAATTAAAGATTAAGTTCACAAATTATCAAAATGAGGTCCAGGTGAAGTAACACAAAGAAGCTCCAAAACAAGTCTATGCGAATTAATACTGATTTTCTCAAGTCATATCCATGCCTCAAGTAAGTTGTATCTGTGCCCGAATGGAATTGAATATATTCTAACATTGTAAAGATTAATCATTATCTGCAGAGCATGCAGCTCCAATATGAAATCTTGGCATCTTGATTCAGAAATTCAACTGAAAAGGTACCAAAAACCACTATTCAATCCCTTGCAACTCCCAAGATACCTGGAATACATCATTCTGCAACCACCCTCCATTACCTTCTGCACAGCTAGCACCCTTTCCCTACTTCAGATTTTGAGATATTGCCTCAACCCCAGACTACCCTTTAATGAAATCTTGAACCAGCCTATGATCGTGACAGTCAGTAACAGTTTGAAAAATGTAGCATGCTAAAGATTGAGATGTCTGGCTGTAATTTGTAAATGGTAGGTCAACGAAATGCTACAAATAGCAGTTATAAAGCGAATTAAAGGAGTTGGTGCAATGTAATTCATATTAAAAGAATTGCAAGCTGCATCATCTTCTACGTTGAGCTGAGAACAATGCTTGGTGATTCATTTACTATCATACCATTTGGCAAGCCTTCTCCCAATGGCCAATCAACACTTTCAGGATCAAGTTTGAATAGGTTTTTTCTTGAGAAGATAAAGAACAGCATCACTGGTCAATGTCAAGAATGATTTCAACGGCACAAAAGTTTTAACAAGAGGTGGAAAACAGAGCAAGGGATGTGTGGTACATGCAAACTGAAGAGAGAGCTGCTTTAAAGCTAAATCCCAATAAAACTGTACAGCTTGACAATTATTCTGTGGAATTGCAGCTTCAATGAATTAGATCACCCTCTTTATATCATATAGAATGTGCAAAATTGATGCTGCAAGCAGCTACTTCTCAACTCAATTTCAGCCAAAAACATCATACTCCAACAAATCCTCCTTTAGACTCTGATACACCTCATTTCTTCCATAGAAAAATGGTACCAATACTTGGAGGCAGAGCAATTTTCTATAATTTAATCACTCATCATTTCGGATAGCAGACCCCTACTTGAAAAGGACTCGTTTACCGTAACAAGTTCAAATTTTCCATTTGTTCTTTGTCAAATTATATACGAAAAATCTTAATCAATTCCATAAGCAGCATTCTTTCTGGAAAACTATGATTTCAAAAACTTATTTCTTGTTTTATAACATTGCCCTCTATAGCATTACCAAATCCGGCTTAATCACCTTATAAAATTCATTAAATACTACATCAATGAACACTTTTTAAATCAAAATCAATACTTATGAACAACTCTAAGAATAAAAGATTTATTTACTTTAAAAAAATAAAGAATTCATTAAGGCAATGAAAAAAGTTTTCCAGAATAATCTCAGTTAATATATACTAAAAGTTAACAAAAAAACAAAGTAAAGAAACCCAGAGGACTATGTATGCGCGCGTGTGTGTGTAACAGAACTCACACGCAAAACACACTAATGCACTTAGAAAATGTGAGCTTGTGTGTGGATATCTGTACATTCAAACTTACAAGATTAGAATGGCAAAAAATCGAGGAAAAAAATGGAAAAATTGAAAGATTAAAAAAACAAAAAATCGCCTGATATACTTACCCAAAACAAATTCACTATCAAGAATCCGGGTAAAATTGAAAGATAAGGAAAAAAAAATTCACCTGATATCAAGAATCCGCCTTGATTTGCCAAGGGAGATATTAACCCAATGTTTTTATTCCAAAGCAGCGAAGTTCAACGGGTTGGAGTGATGGGTGAAGCGGCGGCGGCAGCTGCGGCGGCGGTGGTGGTGGTGGAGGGCCTCCGAGTAGAGAGTCGACTACTTGGTAGTGTGAAAAAGTTAGGGCTATGGGATTGACAACAATGGTTGAAAAATGTGCAATAATGAATTAAATTACGTAACACTCCCTAAATATTTAGAGATACTTTAAATCCTCCTATTGCACTAAAATTTATCAACTTACCTTAAATTTTATTAAAAGTTCTACAATGGCTCTAAAATTGATAAACTTACCTTAAAAGTTATTAAAAAGTTTTACCAGGGATTTTTTTTGGGGTCAAGTCTATCATAGTGCTAGGATACCAAATATGGAATTTTCAAATGATTATAGGGATAATTGCAGAAACCTCCCTTGAGATTTCTGACATTTACACTGACCTCCCCTCTAGGTTTAGAAATTGCATTCACCTCCCCTGAACAGTAACAATTTGTTGCAGAAACCTCTTTGACAGCTTTTGTAGAAGTGAGATAAGAATTTTCTTCCAATTTTGCCCTTACTTGCTTGACAATTATTATTTGCTTGACAATTGCTTAACTAATTATCTAATTAGTTAATAGTTAAACTAATTAACTATTAACTAATTAATTAATTAACTAATTATCTAATTATCTAATTAACTAAAACTGTTGTCTGTCCGAAACTAACAAATTATTTGCATGTTAAACTAATTAACTAATTAACTGCTTAACTAATTAACTAATTAACTAACTAACTGATTAACAAACTATTTGCATGTTAAACTATATGCAGTACGCATTACCTATTTAAAGTATCGGCTCTTTATAGGTATTTTACTTTCAAACATTTAATTTATGATAAAAACATCAATGTTTGTAAGTAAAATTCAAAAAGTGTTACTGTTATTCTTGATTTTGATGATGACAAAGCACTTTGAAATGTTTATCTAATTCTCTTCAAATATAAGTGTTTTGCTTTT